TTATAGAAAAATCATACGAAGTCGAAAACTGAATCTGTAAATTCTGGAAGTTCACAAAATGTGTCTAGTTTATTCATAATTTTATTATGACTTTTAGGAGTCTTTAACTAGTGGTAAAATGTTCATATTCACAGACTGGTCCAATTTGTTTCTGAAATGATAGGCAGTTTTGAAAAAATCACCATAAATCGTTGAAATATCGTGTGGAGATGTGCAAGTAGTCATTTTAAAGCTAAGAACTTGAACTACTTGCACCTAAAATAGTTTTAAAAACTAAAGTGTTCAAGTTTCCCAAAACAGTCTGTGAATGGAGTTGAACTTTTCTGATGAAGGCTGTTAAATGAGTTTAGTTGTGTTCTTGGTGCTTTAACTTGCATTCCCCCCCCCCCCCCCCCCCCCCGCCCTAAAAACTTAAGAAAACATGAAAATATAGGGGTATGAACTCACCTTGAGTGATTTCATTAGGTGTATGATGAAGGAGAGAAGTGTTCAACTCAAGAACACTCGGAGGATTGCTTGAAGATTTGAGAATCTAACACCCTATTGATGGAGTTTGTGTAAGGAATCAATGATTTGAGTAAAAGGAAATGTAATAACCATAAGGAGGGTGATGATACTTACCAAACACAGGAGGAAAGCTTGAAAATGCCCTGGAATTCTCGAATTTGGGTGAGAGAATTTGAGAGCAAAGAGATGTTTGATCTTTAGTGGAGATGAGTGAAGTGAGTGAAATGAAGAGAGAGAGAGAGAGAGAGAGAGAGAGAGAGAGAGAAAGAGAGAGTCTTTCAGCTCTTTGGACGTGAATAAGGCTGAAAAGTGAGTGGAAAAGGACTATGAAGTGACTAGGGATGGTGGGGAGGATAATGGATGGTCATGGAGTGGGTATGGGAGGTTGCTTGTGTCATAAACCAAAGAAAAGTCAACACTCCACCTTTATTACTCCAACCACTAAATCTTGGATAAGATTTGCATTAAAACGTGATTAATTAATACATATGGGTCTTAATATGTTAAAATAAAGTTTTGGGTGAAAATCCCGCTTTAAAATGATGAAAAACGGGCTTAAAATGAAGTCGTAGTCGAAAACCGGGAAAAATGGGTCTTCCCTGCGAAGCCCTTCGGTTCTGGCCCTAGAGGCTTCGGTCTTTGGGTCCTGAGGCTTCGGGCATCGAATCTGATGCTGAGGCTTCGGGCTCGGATCTGATGTTGAGGCTTCGTGCTCGGATCTGGGGCTTCGGCTTCTGATCTTTAGGTCCTGAGGCTTCGCGCTTTGGATCCTCGGGTCCTGAGGCTTCGTGCTTCGGATCCTTGGGTCCTGAGGCTTCGCGCTTCGGATCCTCGGGTCCTGAGTCTTCGTGCTTCGGATCCTTGGGTCCTAAGGCTTCTTGCTTCGGATCCTTGAGCCTATTTTTCTCGTTTTTCCCCCGTTTCAAGCCATTTTTTACACGGTTAAGGGTCGGGATGACCCGAATGATTACAAAAAGTTACAGGAACTTTTGAGAGAGATTTGGGAGAGATATAGGAGAGATTTTAGATAGACAGAGAGAGAGATATAGTAAGAGTAATCGAGAGAGGTTTCGTTTGTGGCATTTGTTAGTGTCCGGCTTCGCAACGTAACGTCCGTAAACCCCGTTACGCCATGTTTTAGTGTCTTACACACTCCCGATGAGTGTGCATTAGTGTTTTATCGCTTTGGTTCATTGTTTACCGCATTTAAGGCTTAGGAAATTCAATCACACGGATTTTCCAAATAATTTTTTCTCATCATAATAGTGAGTTGTACAGTAATTACCTAATGTAAGCCCTAGGACACAAGGGTTAATTGAATCAACCGGTTTGACTTGTTGACTTTGTTTGACTTTGACTTGACTGGAAATTGACAGTTGTCACAGATAACTATATATTATTATTATAATAATATTGTGAATTGAAAACCCTATGTCTCTCACCATGTTTCCAAACCCTACCCACTCAAATTATATGCATTACATATAATAGGGCTAAAGTCATTGGGACTTGAATAGGATGTCTAGTGATTAAGAAATAACCTGCAATAGTGTTTAGGATCATTAGGTATCTACGTTATAACTTATGTTGTGTATTAACTAGGACATCCTTAGGATTTTTGTATTTTGAAACATCTTTATTCAAGATATTTTAATAAAACATTACATTTTCCGCAATATTTTATTGTATTAGGATTTTCCGCAAACAAAAATAATATAGTTTTGAAAGCATAAAGAAAAGTTTTTTTTTCAGTTCCAAAATATATGGGATGTCATAATTAAAGACATCTTTCATTACCTTAAAGGTACTACATATATGGGTTTATTCTATCCCTACATGTAATCAAGTAAATCTACCCTGAATGATACTCGATATAATGTGACCCTTGTCAGTTATGCCGATGCAAGTTACTTATCAGACCTGCATAATGGACGTTCCTAATTTGGTTATTTCTTTACCACCGAAAACACAGAGATATCCTGGAGGTCTTGTAAATAGACTTTAGTTGCTACTTCGACAGATAACTACGAACTTCTTATGCTCTATGAGGTGACTAGAGAATGTGTAAGGCTTCAAGTTGTAATTGGCCATATTCAAAGTACATGTGATTTAGCTTATGATCGCAATGAACCAATTTTTATATATGAAGATAACACTACTGTTATTGATTAAGCAAAACATGGTTACATTAAATGGGGTAACACTAAGCACGTTTTGCCAAAAGTGTTCTTTACACATGAACAACAAGTAATTCAAAAGATTTAAGTGCAACATATTGGATTATAGAAGAATCATGCAATCATGTTCACTAGGTCACTGCAAAAGTATTTGTTCCAAAAACATGTTAGAGCCATTGGACTCAGGAAGCTCTCTAAATTACCTAAATGGCATGTAGCATGCACTTTGTTGTATGCAAGTAAAGATTGCATTCTAATGTATGATTAGCATCTTGTTGAGTGCATGTGAAGGGGAGCATCCCGATGAATGTGTGTGTACTCTTTTTATCTTTAGTTCTAGGGTTTTGTTCCATTGGTTTTACCCTGACAAAATTGTTTTTAATGAGAAAAAAAATGTTATCCCTTCTCACTAAGGATTGATGAAATATGGGGGAGTATCTAGTTGAATACTTCTTTAACCATTGTGTACTCTTTTGTCCTTCATTTAGAGTTTTTTTTCACTAAGTTTTCTTTTTGCAAGGTTTTAATGAGGCGCTTCATGTATGATTATTTCCTTCGCTCAAGACAACTGTATCGTACTCTTTTATCCTTCGACTAGAGTTTTTATCCCAAAGGGTTTTCTCCAGAAAGATTTTCAACGAGGCAAATGTTTGATGTATTATCTGAAGATACAAGACGAAGAAGTACAAGTATAACTCAATTTCAATCCAAGCACCCATGGGGGAGTGTTGTAACTCATAGAAGATTAATGATTGCTTACATTTAGAGGTTTTCATAAGTATAACTCAATGTAAATCCAAGCATCCATGGGACAGTGTTGTAACTCATAGAAGATTAATGATTGCTTACATTTAGAGGCTTTCATAAGTAGGATTTATGTACACAACTTTTACAACCTTTGTCTTACCAACATTTCCCCTATCTTTTACTATATTATAAAACATATTATTCATATCTTGAATTTTAAGATGTATAAGTTACAAAGTTTTTTGTACAAATAAATTATACATAAAAAATTCATTAATACTTGCCAAAAGTTTGAAAACTTGAATTAAGGAAAATAATTAAGAAATTCAATTTGGAGCATAATGAAAATTTTAAAATACTAAATTCATATATATAAATAATTTATATTTCTTAAACTAAATATCAATATTAATTCATTTACATCAATAGTATAAACAGACAATATGAACATAAGGGATGAACATAAATATTTTATTTAAAAGTAGTCATTTTTTATTACATAATAATTAATAATAAAATCTAATAATTATTTCCCCATAAGAAATTATTCTTTAAAAAATAAAAAACGGTTAATCACGACCGTTTTGCGCGAGCACATATCTACTATATAAGGATTTCATCTGTATTTGTAAACATATACTTGAAACACTAGAAATATTAGAGAGAGAATCACATGTAAACACATATATGATCAATAAGAATGTTCGTACGAATCATTGAGTTGAGCTAGTTCGTCATACAAAAAAATCTAATTTTTATTAAAAAAAAAAAAAGGTTGTTAGTTGATAAAAAATGATGGTTGGTAAAAACTAATTAAAAATAACTAAGAAATATAAGATGACATATAATCTAATATTATAAAACAAATATATAATAAATATTATTAAATTAACAAATATATAATAAATATTATTAAATTAAAGTAAATACTAAATGACAGTTTTCATTTATTTACAAGTTAGTATTCATAATATTATTATGGATTTCTTACATTTTAGGACTTGCCCTCGAATATTATCGTAATTAAAATTTGAATGATTGTCTAATTTTTTTTTTTTTTTAAATATATAATGGTTGTGTTGTAAAATGACCATTTTGAATAAATCTAACCACTATTAAGGTAAAAAAAAATATGAGTTATTCAAGTATTTAGATGTGAAACACAAATATCTTTTTTTTTTTTATAAAAAGCACATGTAAAGAAAAGGGATAATATCAGTGTAGTACATGGAACTTTTAACGTTTGGCTAATTTGATCCTTAAAGTTTTTTTTGGTACATTAGACCATTAAACTCGTAATTGACCTTTTAATTACACCATTTTAGCAATTTTTAGAAGGTTTCCCGGTTATATGATGCCATTTTGTCAATTAATATATATATTTTGTCTAATCCGATGCCACGTGAGATATGTCACATCAATTAATGAAATACGACGCTTAAAGCCTTTCGTCTTCAGTTATCGAACTTCACTAGTCTTATTCTTCATTATTGAGCTGTAAAAGAAACTGATTTAGGGTTTGTGAAGCATTCCTGTGATCGAGCTAAAAGAAACAAAGAACTCGCAACAATGGCACAATCGGAAGCTAATGGACTCTTTGCGATGGTGGCACTCAACTACCAAGGGGTATTTAATCGAAATCCTTTCTCTTACACTGGTGGTGTTAAAACCATCTTCAATGATGTCGACTTTTCTTCTATGACTTATTCTGAGTTTGTGACCTTCTGCGAACGTTTCATGCATGAAGAATGTAAAAAGTTTTACTACTGTGAACCAGAAATGTCCTTCATGGAAGGCCTTAATCCCATTTCAGATGATGTGGAATATTCTGCTTTTATTTTTTATGCTTATGGAACAGATGGTGTAATTTCGGTTTATGTGGATCATATTGGGGTTGGTGTTGATGGGTGGCATGATGATGAAGATAATGATGATGATGAACATGAGTCTTGTATTGATGGTGAAAATGAAGACAACATAGATGAACTTAGAAATGTTGCCTTTGAATTTAATAAGGATGTAGTGCATATGAATAAGACATCAAATGATCCTTTCTTGAGTAAGCTATGTGTTGATGATGAGGATGCAAACAACATTGTAGATGATGACAATGGGAGAGAAGTTGAAGTTAACATACAAGCTCATTCCATATTTAATGAGCTATTACACTGGAAAAAACAAAATCCAATTCTAGGGATGAGATTTAAGGGTCCAGGGCAAGTAAAATCAATGTTGTGTAACTATGCTGTAGCTAATGGATATCAATTGTGTTTTGAAAAAAATGATCGGACAAGACTTTTGGTGAGGTGTAGCAAAGGTGCTTGCACATTTAGATTATGGGCTTCCTGGATGAGTGATGAAGAGAGTTTCCAAATCAAGTCACTAAAAGCTGATCATAATTGTGCTAGGAACTTCAAGTTTGGATCATTGGTGCCATATGCATGGATTGGGAGTCACTATACCAAAGAGATTGTAGAAAGTCAGAAAATAAGTATAAGGAAGCTTAGGTTAAAGGTAATGGCCAAGTTTGGTATCCAAGTTAGTATGGGGCAATGTAGAAGAGCAAAGAAGTATGCATTGAAACTTGTTGAAGGAAACCTTGTTGAACATTATGGTAAGCTATGGTCATATGGTCATGAGATTTTAAGGACAAATCCTAGGTCAACTGTGAAACTAGATATGGAGGATGGGCCAGATGGAAAGAAATATTTTAGCAAGTTCTATTTTTGTTTTCAAGGAGTTAAACAAGGTTGGATTGAAGGGTGTAGAAGGGTAATTGGTCTTGATGGATGTTTTCTTAAAGGTGTTTGTAAGGGAGAATTGCTTTGTGCTATTGGGAGGGATGCAAATGACAAGATATATCCTATTGCTTGGGCGGTGGTTAATGTGGAGAACAAGCAGAATTGGAAGTGGTTTCTAGAGCTTCTCATTGATGATCTACACTTGAATTTAGGCAATGGTTTCAGTTTAATGTCAGACCAACATAAGGTTAGTATTTTACATAGTAATGCATTTATGTTAATTTTAGACTATCTGAATTTAACCTTTTTACTAATACAGGGTTTGATAGAGGCTGTTAAAGAGTTGCTGCCATATGTAGAGCACAGGCAGTGTGCTAGACATATTTGCCAGAATTTGCAGAAGAAATTTACTGGTGCCATATATCATACCTTGTTTTGGAGAGCATCTAAAGCCACAACTGAGCATGCTTTTAAAGTTGTGATGAAAGAAATTGAGACATTGAACCCAGAAGCCCATCAATATCTCATGGAGAAAGATCCTAAAACATGGTCTAGAGCTTTCTTTCAAACTGGAAGGTGTTGTGATGCAGTTGAAAATGGGTTCTCAGAAAGTTTTAATGCTGTAATAGTAGATGCTAGGAAGAAACCCATAATAACCATGTTAGAGGAGATAAGATTATACATGATGGACAGAATCTACAACATGAAATTAAAGGGACAACAATGGGGAAATCATATTTGTCCAGAGATAATGGATAAGGTGAATTTGCTTAAAAAAGCTCAAAGGCATTATCAGGTACTACCAAGTGGATTAAACCAGTTTGAGGTAAGGGGAACAATAGATGCATATGAGGTGGACTTAGAAAGAAAAACATGCTCATGTAGATTGTGGCAATTGAATGGATATGGATGTGCTCATTCTGTAGCTAGCATATCCTTTCTTAATAGGGATGTAGAAGCCTATGTAGACAACATGTTTAGCACAACCACATTTAGAAAGGCATACAATTACAGAATTGCTCCCATGAATAGCAGTGACATGTGGCTAGAGACAAACTATACTCCACCATTGCCTCCTATTAATAGAAGGATGCCTGGTAGGCCAACTACTAAGAGGAAGAAATCCACTACAGAGAATACAAGAACACACAGGGTTTCTAAGGCTGGAAAGAAAATCATATGTAGTATTTTCAAGGAGATAGGTCACAACAAGGCCACTTGTCCACGGAGAAGGCCCCACAAGTTAAATGTGAAGAAACATAAGAAACAAAAAGTATGTGTGAACCAAAATGCAGGACAGGTAAAAAAATTTAAAATATAAGATTAATTATATATAATTTGTTACTAATATAATTATATCATGCCATGTAGGGTAGTACAAGTGAACCACAACAACATGAAGAGTTTGAAATGACTCCAATTGAGATGGATACTACTCAAAATGATATGCAAGTTGCTCCTACTGATGTTGAATCTAGTAGTGCAGGGGATTTTATTCAATATGTGCAATTCACTCCACCTAGAAGTTATGAAGGTGATGAGGGTGTTATGGGTGAGGAAGCTGATGTGGTTGAGGAAGCTGTTGTGGTTGAGCAAGTTGTTCAAGATGAGGAGGCTGAGGAGGTTGATCCTGTTATACAAGTTGATAATGTAAATGTTCAGGAGGTTGATGAGGTTAATCATAATGCCCAAGTGGATAATGGTAATGTTCAGGAGGTTGCTCCTGTTAACCAAGTTCAGCAAGTTTGTGTCAGGCCAATTTCAGATATTTTGAAGAGGATAAGGAGAAGAAAGTCAGAGAGAATACTAAAGCTGAAATTAGGCAAAACAATTGGTGGTGTTGATGATCCAGGAAATTCGAAGGGAAAAGCTCTTGTAATTGATTAGTGTTTATTGTAATTTGTGTTTAAAGTTTATGTAATGGGATGATGATAAATTGGATTTTAAGTTTATGTAATAGGATGATGGTAATTTATATTTAAAGTTTATGTAATAGGATGTTGGTAATTTATATTTAAGTATGTGTGACATTAAAGGGTATTTTGGTCATTTAAGTATGTATGAAAGAAAAAGGGTAATCTGGTCATGTAGCACCTGGTTCCTGGTATGTAAATCTTAATTGAGTATTTTCCTTTTTAAGCCTTGGACTCGGCGAGTCATAGGTCCGACTCGCCGAGTAGGGACGAGACCCCGGGACGCGTTTAAGTTGGCGACTCGGTGAGTCCATATCCTGGACTCGGTGAGTCACCGTTGTTGAATGAAACCCTAAGTTTCTAGGGTTTGCACCCTATTTAATCCCCCTTTCCGCCCCAGGCCAGCCCCCATTCACCCCCTAGAGCTCCCAACCCTCGTTTAAGCTTGTTCTTTGAAGAGTTGAAGCTTTTGTTGTGTGTTCTTGAAGGTTTTGAAGAAGAAGGGAAGTAGATCCAGAAGAAGGGAAGCCATCCAAGCACCATTGTGTTCTCTCAGCGGTTTCTTTGAGGTATATCCCATTTTCCCCATGTTTCTATGCTTAAGGCTTCATTTAAGACATTCTTGGCTCATTTCCAAGCTTGTATGTGCATGATAATTCGAAATAATTTGATTGGTATCTAGATCCAAGCATAGTTGAGCTCCAGGAGCTCAGATCCACTACCTTTATGAGCCCATGTTGCATATAAACCTTGGATCTACTCTTTTGGTGCATATTGAACCCTAAAAATCCCATACATGGATATTTACACGTAAAGTTGGAGACTTTACGTGTTATTCATGCTCTAGGAGCGCAGATCTACGAATGACATGGATTGGATTCGATCAAAATCGCATTTTTAGTTGTTGCATGGAGCGGACTCGGCAAGTCGCTCATCTGACTCGGCGAGTCCAGTCGCAAGTCTCTGGGTTTGTCCCCTTTTTGTTATGTCGAGTCGCGTGGTGAGTCCAGGAGGGACTCGGTGAGTTGGGAGCTAAAACTCACCCATAGTGGAACTCGGCGAGTCGATGCCCAGACTCGGCGAGTTCAAGGCAATCTCCTTAGATCAAGATCAGACTCGGCGAATTGTTCATACAACTCGGCGAGTCACAGTATAACTTGTTCATCGGATGAAGATGAACTCGGCGAGTTGTTCATACAACTCGGCGAGTAGGGTGAAGGACTTGAACATCAGTTTGGAAGGAGAACTCGTCGAGTCGACGCCTAACTCGACGAGTAGAAACATAATTCAGGACAGTCGTTTGGACATGGACTCGGCGAGTTGGCGAGCCAACTCGGCGAGTCGGGTCAACTGGAAGTTGACTCTGACTTTGACTTAGGGCGTGATCAAGGGTAAAATGGTCATTTTACCCAAGGATCAGTTAGCAGTTTTTGACTAAGTGTTGGTGGGAATGCCGCCGGAGGATTTCCGGAACAGCAGCAGCAGTCAGACTATTCCCACGAAGATCAGTAGCTACTCCGAGGTGAGTTACCTTCCAGTAGCGGTGGGTCTAAGGCCACAATGTCGGCCCACCAGTAGGAGATGTATGATAGATGATTGTATTTGTGATATCATCTAGGTTTGCTACTACCTGATATGTTATATCCTAGCATGATATGTTGTATGTAGTAGAGTTCGGTCGTTAGGACTGAAGGGTAGTCGGACGCCCCAGATACGTCTGACAGTATGAGATGATATGTTTGCATGCTGGCTTGTTATGTTATATGCGATAGAGGTAGTAGGAGGGGACTAGTCCCCGAGTTCGGTCGTTAGGACCGAAGGGTAGTCAGCACCCTAGAATGGCTTGACACGGGTTGGTCAGCACCCCAAAATGGCTTGACATGGGTAGGGCGACACCCCAGAATGGCCGCACAGGTAGTCGGCACCCCAGAATGGCCGTACCGGGTAGTCAGGTACCCCAGAATAGCCTGGCAGTATGTGTGTTATGTGTTGTATGGTATGTGGTATGTGGTATGATGGGGGAACTCACTAAGCTTTGTGCTTACAGTTTACAGTTTTGGTTTCAGGTACCTCTTCATCGAAGGGGAAGGAACTGGCTCGGTAGCGGCACATCATGCACACACATTGGTTTCCGCATTTACTAGATGTCCTTGGGATTTATACTCTGATGTTTCTATTGGTTGTATGACTTGTCTTTTGAACATGGTTTAAGTTGTGATGTAGTTTGGTCAAACAATATTTTATCCATTAACATTTTCTAAAAGTAATGTTTTTAAAAACGAAATTTTTGGACGTGAAAATTGGGTCGTTACAGGTCATTTAAGTTTTTATGACAGAAAAGGGTATGTTGGTCATTTATTTATTGATGACAAATAAGGGTATGTAGGTAATTCATTTATGTATGCAAGAAAAGGGTAATTTGGTCATTCCGTATTTATGACAGAAAAGGGTAATTTGGTCATTTATTTATTGATGACAGGTAAGGGTATGTAGGTAATTCATTTATGTATGCAAGAAAAGGGTAATTTGGTCATTTAAGTATGTATGACAGAAAAGGGTAATTTGTTCATTCATTTATGTATGTAAGAAAAGGGTAATTTGGTTATTTAATTATGTATGATAGAAAAGGGTATGTTGGTCATTTATTTATGTATGCAAGAAAAGGGTATGTTTGTCATTTATTTATGTATGACATGAAGTATGAAAGTATGTTACCATTTTAAGTAAAATCATGACATTTGGCTTTGAATATTTATGCATGGAAAAAATTGGAATAATGTGCATGCATGGGGATGTTTTATATGGCATCGGATTTGGTTTTTTAATGGCTTCACAAGTCCCATTTTTTCATTATTAAAATGGTCCCCATACACATAGTGTACTTCCACATGGACCACTTCCTAATTAAATATATTTGTTGGGAATATAGACCATGCATATGTTTGATAAACATCATCTGATTATACAAAATGCCCTACAATTGGGACTTTGAATATTTTTTTTACATTACTTATCATATGCCCTTTCATTAGGGACTTAGCACCTTACAACATCAACACATTAAGGTTGATAACCCCAACTTATAACTAAAACCAGCTTCAATACATACAAAATGCCCTTATGGAACTGACTTTCTAGTCTGCCTTTACAAAAAATACAAGGGATCCCAAAAAAACAAAAGCTTACCCTAACCAACCAAACTAACTACATTGACCCACCTAACTTCAAAACACATAGGACCAAGCAACCAAACAACAGGGCAACTATCATCCTGTACCTGTCTATTGACTTCATTGCATCATGAACTTCTTTCTCACTCTTTGCCACCTTATACTGCTCCTGTGACAGCAAAAACTCCACTTCAGCAATCCTTCTCCTCAAATTGTTCATCTCAGACATTTCATCTTTGGCATCCAGTTTTTGCTTCAAAGAATATAGCAGGTTTTTGTAGTACCTGTCTGCCTGTTCTTCATCTTTCCATTCAAAGAAGCTACATTTCCTCAACCTAGTCTATAAAAAGACAATAAAATTAGGGTTTGACTGACAATCACAAATCAACTACCTTTAATGTACCAGCGAAATGGGTTCTATTCACAGTGATCGTCAAGAAGGAAATAAAATTAGGGTTTTTAACAGATGAAAAAAAATACAAATACACCATTGTCATTTTTACAGAAAGAAACAACACATCAAACCATAAAATACTAACTTATCAAAATCAAGATAATCGGGACCTACCATACTGTTTTAACAATTCCAGAATCGCCTCCCAGGGTTTGTTATCTTCCAACAAGTTCGTTCTTTAGCTGGAACGACACAATCACAAACCTTTACCCCTTCTTGCGACTGAACATGAGTGACTTGTAGCTGATTCCTTGACGTCGATGAGCTCGAAGACATTCTTCTTCAGGATGGAAATAGTCGGGGAGGGAGAAGTCTTTGACTTTTCAGAGAAGGGTAAGTAAAGATTGAAAGGAGGTCCGGATGAGGGTTTCAATTAATAAGCCTGTATCGACAACTGGACCGCATAAGCTTATTGGACACATCAGCGTGCCACATAAGCATTGTAACCGGGAAACCTTCTAAAATGGTGTAATTAAAAGGTCAGTTACGAGTTTAATGGTCTAATGTACCAAAAAAAACTTTAAGGACCAAATTAGCCAAATGTGAAAAATTCTATGTGCTACAGTGACATTATCTCTAAAGAAAATTTGCAAGGTATAGCACATACATATAAAATTATAAAGTTTTTAGCAATTCATGCAAAAAAAACCAAATTTCTTTTTTCTAAGGCAATAATTATTATCAACTTGAGTAATAAAGCCGATCTTTTATCATTTTATAATAAATCAATGATCTTTAAATAACAAATTGAAATATAACTATATAATTTATATAAAAAAAAAATATGAAATAATAATTTAAAACATATGAAATAATAATTTAAAACATTAAAATATTGTAGCTTGAGTTGTATACGTTATAAGTTACCATTCAAGCATATATGCATACCACTCTCATGAGAAAAAAAAAAAAAAAAAAAAAAAAAAAAAAAAATATTACCATGTATGCAAGTTCAAGTGCATCTAAAAGAAATAAATGTCATACTTAATGCTTTCACCAACCGGTATCATGATTGCTATGAGAAGGTAAATCATAATATTCTTAAGACAAAGAAGTTAGATATATGTAGCCCTTATCCTAGCGTATTTCTGCTCAGATTATCAGATCAAACACAAAGAACAAAATAAGATAAATTTAATATGTATCTTTATTAGTAAAAATCGAATTCCCTAATAAACTGGAAAACGGAAGCACTTAGAGGAAAAAAAAAAAAAAAATACTTTTCTCACAATTTTAAGATTCGAAATTGATTAGGTTAAGATTTCTAATCATTATCTAATAGAACATAACTAACAATAGATTCAGATAAAAAAAATCATTTTAAATCCATCGAATCGACAAAAAACACCT